CTCTCTCCCTCCCCACTCTCTTTCTCTCCTCCTCTATCTTCTCTCTTCCTCTTCATATCTGACCATCGTCATCATGATCATATTCCGGCAAATCCTCCTCACTCATCTCTCTCCCCATTCTCTCTCTCTCATCTCTCTCATCTCTCTCATCTCTCTCCTCCTCTTCTTGCCTCTCTCCTCCTCCTCCTCCTCCCTCCTCTTGCCGCTCTCTCTCGCTCGCTCTCACTGGGCACGAACAGGCGGCACACGGCGCGCGCGACAGCTCCGTCGCCTCGTGTTTTCACAGCTGCCCTCTCCAGCAATGAAAACGCCAGACGTCACGATAAAAAAAAAACTCGCAGCTTCCCTTTGAAACCGTGAACGGCGAGAGTGGGCGACCCTCATTACTCCGGGATAACATCACGCGCAGCAGCACTAAAGAGTTTTTAAATTCTTCCCCCCGCCTTACCCCCCCCCCAACGCCACCCCCCTCCCCCCACAAGAGATCTTACAACAACAATAACAACAACGCACGCACACACGCAGAGAGAAAACAAAATAATCCAAAACTTCTAAAGTTATTTGTCAAACAAAAAAATCTAATTTCGCGTAAAAAAGTGGATTGAAGTTGTTTTCCCGAAAAACATTGACATAATTAATACGTGGAAATGTATGAAATTGAACATATAAATAAACATGTAAACACATGTCAGATGTAACAATGTTTGCTATATTTGTCAGCGAGGATAGGGATCACGAGATCGCTGGGGAGACGATTCCTCTGACCCCAGGAGACGATTCCTCTGACCCCAGGTGAGAGGTTACGAATAGGGGAGCTCAAAAGTGCCTCCAGAGAGCGAGACCTGGAATCTAACGTCAGGAGCGAGCATTTGTTGAGATGATGCCATCCTGAACGATGATTATTATGAAAACGCCTTTGTTGGTCGGGTAATTTGCCGTACGAAGGCAACGATCCCTCCATGCGCAGTCTTTAACAGACCGTTGGGGAAAGTGCTGTTCGCGAGTAGCACCTATGAAGGCCGCCGTGGCACACAGAGGAGGCTGGGTAGCCAACACCACGCCCGGCCGTCTTTGTCTTAACAGTTGACGATGTTTACACACGGCAACAGGTACTTATTTTAGGCTGAGTCGACCTAAGGGCAGCCCAGATAATACACACGCAAAAGATAAAGATCCCCGTAGTGGAGCCGTTAGCGATACGCTGTGCTATGAACCCGGCGACGCGGGTTCGATTCTCGCTCACGGCCAACACCGGTGATGATTATCTGAACCGGTCATGGGCCTCCCCTAGGTCGACTCAGCCTCAAATTAGTACCTGGTGTACCGTACCAGCCTTCATAGGTGCTCGCTAACAGCACTTGCCCTACAGTCATGCACACAAAGATCCCCCATGTAGCCTTAACAGACTGTTGGAGCAAGTGCTGTTAGCGAGCACCTATAAAGGCCGGCACGGCACACGAGGGGGTGGGTGGCCAACACCACACCCGGCCGCCTTTGTCTCCCCAGTGACGATGTTTTTTCACCGCACCAGGTACTCATTTGAGGCTGAGTAGACCTAGTCATGCACACACATGTATACACATACATGCAAAACAAAGACAAATATCTCCCGTATGGTTACACGCCGCACCAGGTACTCATTTGAGGCCGAGTCAACGTAGGGGGAGGCCCCGAACCCGTTCAAAATGTTTGTCACTGTTATCGGTCGTGAGTGGGAATCGAACTCGGGTCGCCGTGCGCGTGAGCGAAGGTGCCCTCGCCACTGGACGACCGCTCGCCCACACGTGCATCGACATCGAATTGCGACAATCGCCATTCGTCACTAAGTGGCGGTGACGTCACCACGGCGCTTGTACCAGGCTACGTGCACTGGGAGACCAGATGAAGTTTCGAAGTTTGCTGACGGGAGGTCACGGGTTCAGACCCAGGTGTCATGAGTTGCCTGAAATGACTGGCAGATGCACCATCTGCGCACCCTACTATGCCAACTCGATCCATATTATCCACCCGGCGCTCCGCCCGTTGTTGTGAGCGTCGCTCCTTCACCCTCCGTCGTTGCTGGAGGGCGGCTGCCTCAAACTGCCCAATAGCAGCGTCCTTTACGAGCCTCCTACACAGAGGCCGATGTTGACACCTCTGGTACCGGTCACCGGCAAGTCCCCAATCATCAGCTCCACGTCCTCCTGTACCACATCCCTCGCCCGTGCCGCGCCCGTTCATCCCCCTTTAACCGGCCGTACCGAAGCCGCTTGGCCATGCGGTGGCTGGCCATGCGGGCTACGTGACCCAGCCAAAGTAGCCTCGCGGGGCACCAGTCGAGAGTTCCACAGTTGGGGTATGGGGGGAGGCGGGGGAGGGAGGGGGGGGGGCCAGAGTAAACGCACGAGCAGGCAGGTAGTCGACGCAACTGGATTGAACATTCCGCGCGCGTGTGAACATCGCTCCGAACGCGTGCCCCTCTCTGTTTCCTCCTCTTCTTCCTGGTTGTGCCGTGCGCTCAGACAACGACGTCCGACGTTTGGCTTCACGTGACCGAGTGTCCAACACACGTGGGGCGAAACGTCGGACATCGTGGCCAACAACACGGGGTGGTACGAGCGGAGAATCGCAGCAGCAGCAGCAGCACCAACCCTGCGGTGTCCGGGATCAAAACAAACCGCAGTGACGCTGATGACACTGGGGGCCATGCTGACTCTGGGTTGAGGGCGCTGCCAATGACAGAGTTAACATTCAGCTCGGTCGAAGGTCCGAGGGTGGAGGGGCGGTGGAGGGGCGGTGGAGGGGGGGCAGGGAGCGAAGGCCCGATGATGGGGTCGCGGTTACGGGGGGGGGGCTGTTGGGGGGGGGCTGTTGGGGAGAGGTGGGGGAGGGGGGGGATTAGGGGAGGGAGGGGGGCAGCAGTTAACATTCACTCGCTCCTAGCGAGGAGTTGAGCAGTCATTGGAGGGGGGTTGTCGCCACCGCCCGCTAATCGGGGGGTGGTGGTGGGGGGGGGGCTGGGTGGGGAGATGGGGGGGAGACGGGGGGGCTCGGTGGGGAGACGGGTGGGGAGACGGGGGGGGGCTGGGTGGGGAGATGGGGTGGGGGGCTGGTGGGGAGACAGGGGCACTGGGTGGGGGAGACGGGGGGGGCGGTTGGGTGGGGAGACGGGGGGGGGCTGGGTGGGGAGACGGGGGGACTGGGTGGGGGAGACGGGGGGGGGGCTGGGTGGGGAGACGGGGGTGGGGGGCTTCCCCCTCCCCCGTTCCCAGCTCGTCCGTTTATAGTTGTGACTTCTGACACAACAGCGTGCTCGTATTCTCCGCGTTGTCATGTGTTTTCTCTTTCTGACTCTCTTTTGTCTTTGAAGTAAAAGCCACCCCCACCACCAACCCCCACCCCCTCCCCTACCCCACCGTGCCCTCCTCCTCCTCCTTCTTCTACAAGAGACGAAAACGCAGCGCACATTTGAAATATGGAGCGTGTCTGGAACCACTCTTACCGCGTTTAAATTCCTGTGCACAACAGAATTCCTTTGCTGTCATCCAGAAAGCATTTAGATGAACGCCTCGCGATGTGCGTGGTGCTTGGGATGTTGGTGGTGGGGGAGGAGGTAAGGAGGATAGGGGGAGGGTGAGGAGGGGGGGGGTATCTCCTGGGCAGCCCCGTGGAGGTTTCTATTCCTCCTCCTCACCATGAGAATCGGGTCTCTAATCTCCTCCTCTCTTCAGGGTTCCTCCTCACGATTCGTGCAGGGGGAATTGGGTGGCGTTCACTCGTTATACCTGTGGGCACTCAAGGTTGACGATCAAAACACCAGATAGACACACACACCTCTTGCAAAGCATCAAGTCGGCATTCGCCACGCGTGCTTGGGGTGAGACGTGTGTGCGTTGTCCCTGCAACTGATTGGCCTACGCCAGAGACGGCCTCTTTCATGGCTCTGTATATTCAACTTCTTTCGCACCGCACGTTACCAAGCGCGCTAATCGGATGTGCCGGGGAACGACGACAAAACTCAACGTAAAAATCAATTCTAAACAAATGCTGTAGGGCCAAAGGCTGCCAAAATGCGAACAGGACAAGGACGATGCAAACGCAAAAGCATTTAAGAGCTCGGGTTAAGCAGTTCTACCTCCGGGACCCCTTTCAGCCAGTATCAATGCGACGTTTAAAACATCTTAACACCTTTTTTTTCTCTTCTTAATCATCCAAGTTCAACCAGGGTATGTGCGGGTCATTGCTCTCTCTTTCTCTCGCTCTCTTTCTGTGATGTGGGTCGTGCGCTGCTCCGCTGCTGTTAGTAGCTGCGAGCAGCGTGACGCTGCCCGGCTCACGACGCGCACAGCCCCGCCGGTTCGAGTCCATCTCCCGCCCCCCGCAGTCGACAACGCCGGGGGCGAGTTCCAGCGACTAACACGCACGGTCCTCTCTTTGTTATTCGGCGGTGATGGGCTTTATCTTGATCTGCACATTTAAATTGATGGACACGTTTCGTAAACGTCTCCACATCTGTCCACCTCTCTAAGCGGTGGTGGTGGTGGTTGTGTCCGCTTTTAACGCAAACGTGGAGGTGGTGGTTGTGTCCGCGTTTCACGCAAACGTGGACGTGGTGGTGGTTGTGGTGTTAGTGGTGGTGGTTGTGTCCGCTTTATACGCAAAAGTGGAGGTGGTGGTTGTGTCCGCGTTTCACGCAAACGTGGACGTGGTGGTGGTTGTGGTGTTAGTGGCGGTGGTTGTGTTCACGTTTCACGCACACGTGGAGGTGGTGGTGGTTGTGGTGTTAGTGGCGGTGGTTGTGTTCACGTTTCACGCACACGTGGAGGTGGTGGTGGTGGTTGTGTATGCGCGTGACCCACGCTTAAGACGTGGCTTTGGTGGTTGCGGTGGTGGCTGTGGTGGTGGTTGTGTCCTCGCGTTACCCACACGTAGACGTGGCGTTGGTGGTTGTGGTGACGGTGGTTGTGGTGGCTGTGTCCGCATGTCACCCACCTGCACGCTTCCCTTGCCCTTGTCGTCAGCTCCAGGCCGGGCCGGCCCCCGAAGCGAGCACACGGACTACTGTCTCCCGACAGCATGATGCCCCACGGCCTCCTCTCCCCGGGCGTGCTCTCTCCTCCAGGTAACTAGGGAGGTGGGGAGGACACTCCGCACTCACCTGGGCATCAGCATCATCATCATCATCACCACACACACACACACAAGGATGACATTGATTGAACGAATCGCTCATCCGTTCATTGATTCACTAAACCATGATGCCGCCGCACAGACTGATGTCTCTCCCCGGGTGCTGCCGCCGTCTCCGCGAGGTAATGGGGGGGGGGGCTGCTGGGGGGGGGGGTATTCATAAAAAAATAGTTTGGTGATGAAGCACGTTAAATTGATAAATTATCTGATTAATTAAATCATGATGCTCATCCGGGGGTTCTGTCTCTACCAGGTAACGGGGGGCTGGTGGGGGGGGGGGCAGGTCAGGGCTAGGGAGGGGGCACTACGACTGCGGTGGTGGGCGAGGGAAGGCAGAAGGGGTTATTCATTGATTCATTAATTCGGTGATTCGTGCACTGTAGTTTGTGATTCATTCAGTTTTCATTTTGTATTCGTCCCTTAAGGTATGAGCTCCCTCACTTCGATGTCACTGACCTGCTCTCTTGGTCCGTGGCTCCACGCGTTCCCTCTCTCTGGACACCCCCCCCCCCCCTCCACGGCGTTATTTCGGGCCTCTGCGATCCACGCGGTTGGCTACGTACGGCGCCAAAGAAGTTTCAACCATGCGTACAGCAATGTGCGCATGCACCGTTACTTTTTTTTAATATCATCGCACAAAGTTTGATTCTCGCTCGTGCGATGAATTCCTTTGACCCGTCATTTATCGGGGGGTGGTTCCGCAATGGAACGCGGTGTCTCTCTCTCTCTCTCTTTGGATGGTGCCGCTGCTTCGTAACTTATTCATGCGCACAGCAGTTCGTGAAGGTTGCTCGCGGATGATCTGTGTTGCGCATTGCGCGCTATAAATAACCATAACGACCGCGGTGATTACGATTACCATCAATACCTGTTGTATCCGTGAAAAAGAGCTTCACAGCTAATCGGCTTCCTCTTGCGGTCTAAATAAAGATTTTGATTGTGAGCGATGACTTTGTGTCTCATCACGGCGCACCGCTGATTGGCACGGTTGGCCACTTACGGTGCGAAAGAAGTTCAACCAACATGATGATGATCATCATCATCATCATCACGATCCATGGGCAGATAGCCCGTAGGTGTGAACTACACATGACAATATAAATATATAGCTAGTTTACATATTATATATATATTATTGTACATGTAATATATATTATATATTACGGGGGAGGGGGGCAGTATATTGTGGGTGGGGTGGGGGTAGCTTCATCCAGCAGTGGATTGACCATGGCCGATGATGATCTTTTACGATATTGCGGTGGGGGGTAGTGAGTGGTTATTAGCAAACTGCGCTATGAACCGGGCGTACCTGAGTTCAATTCCCGACCACGGCGAACATCAGTGGCGAGCGATATCTGAATCACTCCCGGGACTGCACCATCCCCTGACAAATCGTGGTGAAGTATGATTAACAATCCTCACTGCCGATAACAGCGTGAGGGAAGGCCTTCATTCAGCCGTGGATTTCCGAAGGGCAGACTATTATTTATATGTTTATCTATGAGCGCGGGTGGTTATACCATACATCAACACCGCTACTCGCCTTCAACAATTGAGCGTTCAGCCCCGATGAAGCTTGGTAGAGCTGAATGGAGTTAAAAAAGAGCCCACAAACACTTTGTTGTGAAAGACCCAACGCGGTCGAGCCCTGGGTTTGAACTTCCACGAAGCTCATGGTCCGCCCTGAACCGCATCCACTGCACAAACCATAGCAGCAGACGCGGATACCCTGATGATGCACACATGGAAACTTTAAAACAAAAACTCTACAGTCTGCGACTGTGGTCATCCAGAACAGACTGTACAAAAACATCAATAACAACAACTCTCAAATAACGACTCAATGCCCGATCCTCACAGACATCATCACAGCGAAACGCGACTTCGTCACTCCTGACGCGGTTATTATAATCTGGCTTGACCACCTGAATGTGGAATTGTGGTTTGTCGCTCTGCATCTACATCATCTACATCATCGGCCACATTTAAAACGAACCACCACGCTGTTTCGTGAAGTGTGGGGTGGGTGGGGGGGATCAGTTCGGACATCACTCGCCACTGACGTGAGCCGTGAGCAGGGCTCTAACTACCGTAAGCACCCGCCGCCGATGACGTTAGCGCTTCCATAATAGGTGCTCGCTAACAGCGCCCATCAAATCTACAAACACGAACGACTGCACGGGGGGAGGGGGGGGGGACAAGTCGGCTCCCTTTGTAAACGTCTGTGAACTCGTTTGTACGAGTGTAGGGCTGACGGGGGGTGTGGGTGTGTGTAAGGGGAGGGGGCGTCGTGGAGGGAGGCGACCAAGATAAACAGGGGAGTGAAGAGTCAACGTTTGAGCTGACAAGCTTTCAAGGAGCGGGTTGAGGGCTGGAGGAGGAGGGGGGGGGTGAACCCTAATTTCACGACACCGAGTCTCGTTCCGCAAAAAACAGCGCTGCATTATCAATCAATCTCCCTCAAGCGCCTTTCACGGACACACACACACAAAAAGCAACAGTCCCCTTTTGAAAGCGCAATTATATTTTACGCTATGGATATTACACAAAGCAGATTCCTTTAGGCGGAGGGGTGGGGGTCGTTTGTGTTGGGGGGGGGGGGGTGAGGAGGGCTCGGTGGGGTTGGGGCTGGAGGCGGGGTGAGTGAACTCGAACTCGGTGTGGGAATCGAACTGGTACACGGAAATGGTCGAAGGAGTTAGGGCTGGGCATTGCTGTTGTTTGTACACACACACACACACACGTGTGCAATACCTCGGATGATTAACAATCTTCAATCGACGATTCGTGTAAGTATATAGACAAAGACCCCCCCCCGTAAACCCTTGAACAGACTGCTGGGGCAAGTGCTGTTAGCGAGCACTTATGAAGACCGGCACGGCGCACGACGGAGTTGGGTGGCCAGCACCACTCCCGGACGCCTTTGTCTCCCCAGCAGCGATTATTACACACCGCATTAGCTACTCATTTGAGGCTGAGTCGACCAAGGTGAGGCCCAGGACCGGGTTCGTAGCGCAGCGCTCTAACCGCTACACCACCGCTCCCCACATGCACACATGCACGCACACTTATACACACACACACATCGAGGCACACACACGCACGACGATCTCCTGGGTTAAAAGGGTCGGTATATTATAGCCACCACTGCAGTACTTTTTACTGCAGTACAGAACGTTGTGAGTACACGTACAGCTTTTTGTTGAAATGGATGTACTTGCCCCCGTTATGCGAACGTGGAATTATCACCACCGTCTTCAAAAAAGTAAAAACCCGCCAATGTTATCCCCGCGACGATTCGATTGGCCGTCACACGATTCGGAGGGTGGGGGGGTCGCCGATCCCATTACGTGATTAAATTCGATTAAATTCGATTATTCATTTAACATTGCTGGGAATAGCGCAGCAGCAACAACCAAAAAAAAACCTCAACGCATTAATCAATAACACTGGGCAATTGCCCGACGTTTCGGGCAATTGCCCTTCTTCTTGGCACACATTACTACAGCGTGTGCTTGACAAGGCCACAGTGTTATATCGTTGACGCATGCGCCCAATTTGTTGTGTTGACTGCTTGGACAGCAGCGGCAGCAGCATCACCAAATAATTTGTTTGATTTTGAGAATGATAGCGCCCCTGTTGGCTGTAGGCGTGACGAGAACCCATCGCTGTCCCTTACAAGTTACAAGATATACGATACGCAAGTACGGCAAGTTTAACAACCTCTGCGAACAACAATGAATCGATGCCATGTTACATCCACGGAAACCCGGTGGAAACGATCGTCGCAAGTATCGCTTCGATCAATTTTGTGGGCCAGGGTCAAGGTCAAGATGTCATCGCAGCCAATGTTATGGGTGCCACCGTACCTCGCCGTCGCTTCCTTCCTTCTGCTAGATATATCCTAAGTCGGGTGCTCTTGCAGTCTTACACACACACACACTGTCATTAGGTCTACCCGTTTGTTTCACAGTATACACTTCCTTAAAGGGTCGCTCTTACAAACTCACCACCACCTTTAGGTCTTCTCTTCCCCTTGGTTGCTGACCTCTGGGTGCCTCTCCACTGCCCGTCTCGGCGACCCCCCCCCCCCCACTCTGCGCACGCGTCCCACCCATCACACATCACATACAGCACAGAGTTGCTTTTGTTACTATTTCTATTTGCTTCGTTGCTGGAACTTCATTTCGTTATCTCTTTATTTGTGTTATCTCGCGATGGCCAGATGCTGTCTCCGTCACGTGGTATGAAGGAGGTCGTGGGTTCGATCCCGACCCCTTGACGCCTGCTGTATATTTGGAGTTTGCGTGTCTCTCTCTCTCTCTCCCTGTAGAGATGTTAACTACCTCGCCTGTTGTACAGGAGGGCGTGGGTTTGATCCCGACCCCTGACGCCTGCTGTATATTTGGAGTTTGCGTGTCTCTCTCTCTCTCTCTCCCTGTAGAGATGTTAACTACCTCGCCTGGTGTACAGGAGGGCTTGGGTTCGATCCCGACCCCTTGACGCCTGCTGTATATTTGGAGTTTGCATGTTCTCTCTCGCCGTGGGGTTTTCACTCCCACATTTAGAAACATGCGTTGAGAGTATTGTCTGCTATGAACGTCCACGCGATATAAGCTACTTTTGTTGAGCTGTAATTTGTGGCCAGGTCGCTTCTGAAAAAAAAAGAGCGAATAGCCCGGTGGGCTGTATCTGCTATTATAAAATAAAGTCGTTTTTGTTGTTGCTTTTGCTTGTGTGAAATTGGTGACCCGGGTCACACTTGCAAATGTGACTCATGGCCAAGTCCCCTTGAGTTATCACCAACTTGAAAGCTGACACCAAACAAACCGAGAATCTTTCCCTGATTGCATCGACAGCGCTTTCCTGCCACGCGTAGCTCACTGGATCCAGCCATCGCGTTGTTAGCATCTTTCAGGTGCAACCCACAACTCAGACGCTTCTTCCCCAGTGGCTTTGTGGGTCGGAGCCGCGGCTCGCTGTGCCTGGTGCACGTTAGCGAGCGCCTATCGAGGCTGGTAGTACGCGATTGGCAGGGCGGAGGGGTGTTGGTGTGGCCAGCGCCACGTACACCGGGCCGACGTTTTCTCCACGGCGGTGCTGTTTGCTGTTCGGACAACTGCAACATATATACAAGTATTCTTTTTTTTTTTAAGGCTGAGCCGACCTTGGAGGAACCCAAGCCAGCTTCAGATACACCTGTACCACCGATGCGCTGGCATGGCTGGGGATTGAACCCAGAAGTTTGGCCTCGTAACTTAGTCCGCTTGCCCGCGACGAGTACAATCCTTGTAAACGTGGAACGTTGGACCAACGTTGGGCCAACGGTTCCAACCACCATGCCAACGTTGGCCGGACGTTGCATATTTACTGGGATATCATTGGCAATCAAAGGTGCGACACGAAGATGTATTGACGATTAGCCCTGTTGGGTGGCTGCCGCGCGGAGGGCAATCCGCTCCGTGTTTTACCACCACCCGCAGCTTGACTAGGGGGACTAGGCAGGCGACGGTTGTGCTGACCGCTGCGCCACCGCTCCCCACTGACACGCATCCTCCCGCTCGGGTCAGCGTGACACTTTCAAAATAAATTCCGACTCCATCCCTGCACCTCCCTCTCACCCTCCCTCCACCTCCTCCCTTCCCTCGTTGCCTTCCTCCCTCCTGTCTCCCTGCACCCCCCCCACCACCACCGCCACATCGCGCCCAGGCCTGGGTCCCACGGGGGGCGTGAGCTCTGGCGCCGCCTTCCCGGAGAGTCTGAAGATGAAAAAGCTGAAGCTGGAGGCGGTGAATGGCGTCCATGGCAATGGTAACCCGGGCAACAAGGAGGGCGACGCCACCGAGATGTGCTCCGCATCGGCCGGTGAGACGGGGGGGGGCGGGGGCGGGGCGGAGGGAGGGGGTGAGGGGAGGATTGGGGGTGTCTGTGTTTTGAGTGCGTGTTTATTGGTGGTGTGTTTGTGTGTGTTGGCACAGTGGGGACAACAGGGGGGAGGGTGCATCTGCCAGTCATCTCAAGTCAGTCAAACCATGGCACCTGGGTCTGTCCCGTGAACCTCCTGCTGAGCAGCGAGCCTTCGACGTTTCACGTGATGGCCTCAAGGTGCACCTAGCCTGGCACAAGCGCCGTTTTTTGGCGTCACTGCCACTTAGTTGGGAACGGCGGTTGTTGGTGATGGTGTGTGTGAGTGGATGAGTGAGTGGATGAGTGAGTGAGTGGGTGAATGTGTGGGTGAGTGATTGGGTGGGTGAGTGAGTAAGGGGAGCGGTAGTTTAGCGGTTAGCGCGCTGCGCTACGATCCCGACGACCCGAGTTCGATTCCTGCTCACGGCCAACACCAGTGACGACTATCTGAACCGGTCCTAGGCCTCCCCTCGGTGGGCTCAGCCTCAAATGAGTATCTGGTGCGGTGTGTAGAAACATCACCACTGGGGAGACAAAGGCGGTCGGGTGTTGTGTTGGCCACCCACCCCCTCGTGTACCGTGCCGGCCTTCATAGGTGCTCGCTAACAGCACTTGCCCTAACAGTCTGTTAAGTCTATACAAGGGATCTTTTTCTCTGGGTGAGTCGGTGAGTGTTGTTTTGACCTGCAGTGTGGTGATGTTTGAATACCCATTAATGACAAGACCAAACAACAGGTGTCTGGTAGACCGAACCCTCAATATTTGTGATTGAAACGTTCACAGGCACATAAACTACGGAAGTAGCGATATAAGAGTGACAAGGAGGGAACTGACCGCTGATAAGTGAGCGTGCTCTGGATGATTAATCACTCTGACTGCTGCTTCATGTTGATTTATATCAAGGGCACTGAGGTGGGAACTGAGTGCTCCACCCCCGATATGTTTCAGTTGGAGTCTGGGCCAGGGTTGTGAAAGTGACTTGTTTCGTAGTGGCATTGACGCGAGACCCTGGCCACAACGGGGAAAAAGCTTCAACTCACGTCCACGCTCTCTCCCACTCCCCCTTCCACTCTCTCTCTCCCACTCCTCGCTCGCTCTCTCCCATTCGCTCTCTCGCCTTGTTTTCTCGGCGGTGTTTAACGCTCGAGACAGTCCCCGTCCACCCCCGTGGCCCGTGCTCCTGTCCCTCGTTAATTGCCTGTCACCCGGGGTAGCCGGCGGCTCGGCTCACGGAGCCCTCCGTGCTAAAGTGACTGCCAGAAATCTCAGCATACAAACACTGCCCCCCCCCCCCCTACACACACACACGCGCAAACACTCCCCCCCCCCACACACGCAAACACTCCTGCATCCACAACACACCACCCCCGACGCATCCTCCCGTCCAACCTTGATGTTCACGCTGCACGCGCGCGGGCACGTGCGACCCGAACGGTTACCCGCTGCACCCCGCGGACACGCGGACTGGCTGCTGTTGCTGGCAATGACACCCACACCGCCACAACCAACACCACCACCACCACGGCCACCGCCAAAGTGACCACCACTACCAATGAGCAAACATCCCCCCAGCATAGCCTCATCAGCCTGTTGGCGTACGCCTTGTTAGTGAGCGCCGGTGAATTTGCCGGGGACGGACGCGCAACGAACCCGTCGAGCCGAATTCGATTCCCGCTCGCGGCCAACACCAAGGACGATTATCTGAACCGATCCCGGGCCTCACCTAGGTCGACTTGGCCTCAAATGAGTAACTGGTGCGGTGTGTAAACATCGCCACTGGGGAGACAAAGGCGGCCGGGCGTGGTGCTGGTCACCGACCCCCCCGTGCTCGCTTAACAACACTTGCTCCTACAGTCTGTTAAGGCTATACGGGGGATCTTTGTCTTTGTGGGTGTGCAGTGTGGTGGTGGTGGTGGCTCGCACACCCCGCCTGGCTATCGTGCCAGCGAGTTTAGTGCACGCGTCTGTGACAACGGATTTGCTTGCTGAGCTTCAACAGCACAAGTATCGCGTCGCGTGCGTTGTGTGAGTGTATGTGGCGAGCGGTGGCGCAGCGGTTAGCGCACTGTGCTACGAAACCCGTCGGCCCAATGTCAGTACCGAATCACGCGAAACCCGGTCCTGGGCCTCTCCTAGGTCGACCCAGCCTCAAATGAGTCCCTAGTGCGGTGTGTGAACATCGCCACTTAGGAGACAAAGGCGGCCAGGCGTGGCACTGACCACCCACCCTAAGGCCCCTTCGCGGGGCGTGCCGGCTTTCATAGGTGCTCGCCAACAACAACTTACCCCGAAAAGTCCGTGAAGGCTGCACGGGCGGAGGATCTTTGTCTTTGTGTGGGTGTGTGTGTGAGTCGACGGGTGGTTGGGGCGCGTGACAGCGGGTTTGTGAATTGGTGGATAACAGCCCTTTAGAGAGGGGGGTTTGGGGGGGGGGGCAACCGTAAGTGAAGAAATGAATTCAAAATGAATGCTCGATGCGTTGATAGACGTACGTACGTAAAGCGCATATATAGGTTTGCAAAGTGCACTGCGCTCTCTCTCAAACACCCACGTGTCCCCATACCCACGGTGCCCACTCTACTTTCAGAAGTTTAACGCACACGATTTCTTTACCCCATGCACGACACACCTTTGGATGGAAAGACGTACGTAAATAATGTAGCCACTCACTCGTTTTCCTCACACACACCTAAGCAGCTACCCACTCACCAATCTACACCATCACGCAGCCATACACTCACCTACTTACTCATTGAACCACACAGCTACACAGCCATACACTCACCTTCTCACCTACCCACTCGCTCACACACCCATACACTCACCTACTCACCCACCTACTCGCTCACACACCCATACACTCACCTACTCACCCACCCACTCGCTCACACACCCATACACTCACCTACTCACCCACCCACTCGCTCACACACCCATACACTCACCTACTCACCCACCCACTCGCTCACACACTCATGAACTCACCTACTCACTCACGCACTCAATGCTCACACACTCATGAACTCACCTACTCACTCACGCACTCAATGCTCACACACTCATGAACTCACCTACTCACACACATATACAACAAACAAAGACCCCCGTATAGCCTTAACAGACCGTTGGGGCAAGTGTTGTGAGCGAGTAGCACCCATAAAGGCCGGTACGGCACACGAGGCGGTGAGTGGCGAACACCAAGATCCCGGCCGCCTTTGTATCCCGAGTGGCAACGTTTACACATCGCACCAGGTACTCATTTAAGGCTGAGTCGACCTAGGGGAGGCCCAGGACCGGTTCAGATAATCGTCACTGGTGTTTGCCGTGGGCGGGAGTCGCCAGGTTCGCATCACCCGTGTATTCACGCAAAAGACGTCCACTCACCCATGCATTCACAGGAACACGCGCCAAACACTAACGTGTGCGTAATATTACCCACCAACTCACTCACCCATAAACTCATCGACACCCCCACCCGCCGATCCATAAGTTAACGTACTCAGCCACTCACTCACCCACCCGTACCCTCACACTCACCTATACACACGCACTTCACTTATATGGTCACACACCGTCTCATCCACCCATGCATTAACCTATTCACCGACCCGCTCGCACACTCACCGACTCATTCACATACCCAAACACTCACATACTCATTCACTCAAACACTCATACAGTCACCCACCCACTCAATCACACACCCATTCACGAACCTGCTCATTCACCCAGCCACTCACTCACCAATACTCCATATATACATTATCCTACTCGCTCGCTCACCCGCTAAAACCCACACACTCACCCACCCACCCATGTTCTCAGATACACAGAAACTCGCCCATTCACACACACCAATCTAATACCCGCCATTCGCCACAAAGTGACGGTGACGTCACCACGGCGGCTGTGCCAGGCCAGGTGCACTTTGAGGCCACGTGAAGAGTGTCGAAGGCTCGTTGACAGGAGGTCTCGGGACAGACCCAGGTGCCATGGGTTGGCTGACTGAGATGACCAGTAGATGCACCAGCTGTACCCCTTTCTGTGTCAACTTACTGCATTTGATCTGCCCGGCTCTCCGCTCGTTATTGTGAGCATCGCTCCTCTGCCCTCCATTGTTGCTGGGAGGCGACTGCCTCCAACTGCCCAGTAGCGTCCTTCACACCCACTCACTCACCCTCCTACCCATACATTAACCTATTCACCCACCCACTGGCTCACGCACCCATATTTAACCCACTCGTGAACCCAACCTCTCAAACACCCATATGCTCATATACTCACCCACTCACTCACCCAGCCTCAAACCCATAAATTACCCCGGGCACCTACCAACTCATCCACACTTTCGCTCATTCACCCCACCCGTCCTCACTCAAAGACAAAGATCCCGCGTGTAGCCTAAACAGACTGTTGCGGCAAGTGCTGTTAGCGAGAAGCTATGAAGGCCGGCACGGCACACGAGAGAGCGGGTAGCCAGCACCACGCACGGCCGCCTTTGTCTGCCTCGTGGTGATGATTACAGACCTCACCAGGTACTTCAGATAATGATCACCGGTGTTGGCCGTGAGCGGGAATCTAACTCGGGTGGCCGGCTTTGTAGCGCATCGCGCTAACGACTACGTCACCCACCCTCACTCACCGACACACTCACCCACTCCACCTACTCACCCACCCACCCACCTATAAATTAACTTACTCGTTCACCCACCCACTCACCCATCATCCTACCCGTCTATTAACCTTACGCTCACCTACCCACCCACTCATCCGCCCGTGCGCGCACACGCGCGGCTCCACGACTCGGCTCAGTCTGGGGCGGCGTGAACGCGATACCCGCGGCATACGCCTGCCTAGAAGGGGGCGGGCGGGCGGGGGGGGGATTGTTGGGGGCGCTCTCAGTTTTGTTCTTTTAATAATCAATCAATGGGCCAACCAGCCCGCCATCTGTCTGGGCACACCCCTCCATCCCTCTCCACCTCCTGCACCCCCCCCCCTTCCCCATAGAGCCCCAACTAGCACCCCCATTGCACCCCCATCACGCACGCACAGCCCCGCCCCCACCTCTTCTCAGTCCCCCCCCCCTCCCCCGCCTCGCGTCCTGTGGCATCTTTGTGCTCATGTCAGCTTCTATTGTGGAGCATTCCGCCAACCACTCACCCCGCATCCCTCCGATCCCGGGCCGCCCTGCCGCCATCCCATTGTCTGTCCCTTATCAGCACCTCGGCTCGCATCCCTTCTCTCTCGCCTGCTCACCCTCTCCGCCGACCACGATCGAGACGAGCCACACTTCTGCGAGGCTCAGCCGGGACTCACCGCGCGGCGCAAACCGGGGGCAGCCCCCATCGCTCCGTCGGCCACCGCTCACGTTTCCCAAGAGCCACGCTCAAACGACAAAGTCGCTCCGCCAAAGCAATCGATGTTTCTCTCTCTATCTTCCGGACCCCGTGTCCAACGGAGAGCGGGCCCTGCCCGTGAACATCTGGGCGGTTCACTCGTCGTCGGTTCCAATCAAGGCTGCATCCTCTGCTGATGAGACGCTCTTTCGTCAAAGCCGGTCCAGAGTTTGCTTGTACTGAACCAATGCTGCCGAAATGATGCGCCGCTATGAAAGTGATTGACGGCGAGCGTAAACAACGCGTCTGTTTTGTTTGTGCAGATGTACGAAGGAGACATCATTTCTTACTTTGCCATTTCTGGCATTGCCACCCCTGCAGATTGCTCATAGGCCCTGCCCACTACCCAGGTAGCTCCGCCCACTGCTCAGATAGCCCCACCCACTGCCCAGGTAGCCTCGCACACTTCTCAGTAATCCCTGCACACTGCTCAGGTAGCCCCGCCCACTGCTCAAATAGTCCCGCCAACTGCTCAGATAGCCCAGCCCACTGCAAAAGTAGTCCCGCCTCCTACTCAGGTAGCCCAGCCCACTGTCCATATAGTCCCGTCCACTGCTCAAGTAGCCCCGCCCACTGCCCATATAGTCCCGCCCACTGTTCAACTAAACCCCGCCCACTGCTCAAGTATCCCCACCCACTGCTCAGGTAGCCCCACCTACTCCCCAGGTAGCCCCGCCCGAGTCATCTTGAGTTGAGCACGAGACCAGGAAATCTAAAAATAGGACCAGATCCCGATTTTCACGAAAGATTCGAGGGGAAACACCGGGACAGACTTTATGTCTGCCTAGTGGTAATGATTACAGACCTCACCAGGTACTTGAGGTAATTGTCACCGGTGTTGGCCGTGAGCGGGAATCTACGTAACTCGGTGGCCGGGTTTGTAGCGCATCGCATGAAAGCACTGGGACTGTCCCGACCTTAACCAGGTCAATAAATTGTTAGCTCTACTGAAGATCATTGCGGTAAAGTCTTTGTGCAAGAACTTAAAATATATGCTATGTTGTACTGGTGATTCCTCCCAATGGTGAGACTGGTACACAGTTGTTTGGCAATCAACTGCTGCTGTCTAAAAATAATGACTATACATTTTGACTCCTTTGAGTTGGTGGTCTGAAACAAGTGTCAGGTTCAAGTTTAAGTTTAGTCGAAGTCTATTTTGTTAAACCAGCTGAGAACTCAAGAGACCAGGGTAGAGTATCACGTGCTCTGTATAATCCAAATGTAGTCATTGGCGGTGTAATCCTTAGCATTCGGTCATTTCGGACCCTGCCGCGCAAAGCATGATGGGAGGAGCGATCCCGTCGTCACAATCTACCTATTGCTCTGCAGAAACCACATGTTCCACGTGTTACTTTTTTAAATGGCATACTTACAATTGTACCAAGCAATGATAGGTCCCAAATGTGCTGCTGCACACGACGAAACGCATTGCTGCAAATCGGCGAGCTGATCGATGCCGTGAGCAACCGGTCGTGCAACTGTTCGCAACTGGCCGCACATAAGCGATTCGGTTGCTCAGATCCAACGTAGGCTGGAGACAGACAGATGCCACCGAGACAGAGAAAGTATCGTTCATGTAATGTGGTGGTCACATGACACGCATGCAAGGCATGATGGGTAGGAGACGCGCCCCTCTCCTGCCATTTGTGAGCAGCACACCTTTGGGTGGTGTTGAGTCCAATCCGCCCTGGCACCCGAACTGATTATTTTTCAAGAGACCTGGTCATAAAATTTTATCTCAACCGAGTGGCTTATCACGTGGAAATGTATAACAAACCAAATACTCTAAACGCCTAATGATTCTAAATGTGGAGGGGAAAACCGGAGGACCCGGAGAAAAAATCCACGCAACCACACGGAGAGAGAGAAAACACGCGGACTCCAAATGTACACGCGTCATGGTCAGGATCGAACCCACGACCTCCTGTATACCAAGCGAGGTAGTTAACGTCTCACCTCCACGGCGCCCCATCTCCTTAGGTGGATGACCTTCCAGAACCACCAATGCTTGTCCAAGTGTCCAAATACGGACCCGGGCTTAACCCCCCCCCCCCGCCCTGCTTTCTCCTCCCCCCCCCCCCCCTCGTGTTTCCGGCAGGTGGAGGAGAGGGGCTGTGGGACAGGGGGAAGCACCATTCCCCCAAGACCCCCCTGACCCCCCCGGGGATGAGCGCCCAGCCCCTGTCGGCGACGCACGGCCCCCCCACCTCACACCCCCTCACCCAGCTCCAGCAGAGCTCCCTCTTCTCCAACGGTGAGGCGCGAGACGCAATTGTCGGGGGCGGGTGGGTGGGGGTAATTAATTGTAGTGGTGATGGTGCAGAAGACCCTACCAGTACATTCCCTCTATGGGTCTCAATGCGAGTCTATGGGACTCTCTACGAGTCTATGGGATTCTCTACGAGTCTATGGGATTCTCTACGAGTCTATGGGATTCTCGACAAGTTTGTTGATCTTTATGCGAGTCTATGGGGCCCTCTATGAGTACATGGGGCTCTCAACGAGTGTATGGGACTCAATACACGAGTCTATAGGTTTCTCTATATGAGTTTAGAGCTATTTGGGTTTCTATTTGAGTGTTTCTGAGTCTATTCTTAAATATATTGGTAAATGCGTGAATCTGTGAGCGTTTATGTAAGTGGCTTTCTGTCTGAGTTTATGGGTCTCTATATGAGTCGATATATGAGTAAATGCGTGAGAGCGCTGCAAATGATGCCACTGCCAGCACATTTCACCAGAGTCTGGAAGTCCCTGAGTGGAGTTTGTGGCCTCCTCAACCCAGAGCCAAGGGGGTAGAAACTCGCCGCCCATAGAATCCACCTCCGATACAGCGACGCTCAGCGTAACTTCGAATTTTGTAGAAATCGAAAGTACACGTAGAGAAAAATAATCTGAAAAATGCCCAGAGAATAACGGATTCAGAGTGATTTTCCGCTCAAATTATCATTGAGGTATTGGTGCTCGAATCCTGTTTAAAGCTCTCAGCCAGTGGTGAGAATTCCACATTCCGATGTTGGGGGCGAGTCTATCCATAGGACAGCCAGGGTTGAATTCCCCATAAAGTAGTACTTAATTTATCGATCCTGGAGTGATGATGGGTTGAGTCATCCCACCAACCAGGAATTAAACTCACGTTCCTTCCCGATTGCGTGCCGCTCGTTCTACGCCTGAGCCACCTGGCCAGTTAGGAGAGGAAAAGAGAGAGCGCGAGAGAGAGAGCGATGCACTTGGGATTACTCTGCAGAGACGGAGAGATGAGCACCTGGGATAAGAGAACCGCACGCAGGTTAGAGACCGTCATTCAAACCGTGAGAAAATTTGAGCAGTGCTTGCTGGGCAGGACACGTCACACGGCTTAGAAGGGACGACGGCGAACGGTCAAGGATAATGATGGAGCGGCAGCCATGGAATGCAACCGTGTGGATGGGACATGGAAAGCAAAGCCTTGATACGGATCGAAGAGATGGCGTCATTGATTAAATGAAAGGCGTCAAAGCGTCCCGACGTTGTTTTTCCTTTTTAAAATTAACTCTGGGCACGAAAGAGCGATGCAGATATTCAAAAGCGATGTTTATTATCGAAAAAAATAACGAATGATCAGAAGAAAAATAGCAAACACCTCATAGTAAACAGGGGAGGAGGAGAAGGCTGTGGTTGTTGTTGTGTTTCACGGTCAACACAGAACCACACAGACGTGCGTCACTTTTACCAGGATGTATCGTTACAAAACAAAAACAGAATCAAAATCTTTACTTAAGACTGGAGGAATCAACAACAATTATTGAATAACTTTATGCACACAACGCAGTGGCACGAGGCTCCTGCTCAAGCAGAAACGCTCAACCGCGATCTTAAGTCTACTGTCCAAATCACGTCGAAAGATCGAGTAGTTTGCAATATCGGAGGGTATTGGACCATCGTCAACACCTAACCAGCAGCAGCTAACTAAGTCTACTTTCCAGAACGTGGACATTAAACGTATTTACAGCCTACACGATGCCCCCGTCAATGATGCTTGGAGAGGGACCAAGTTTTTATTTATGAATCGAAGAGTTTTAAAATTAAAGACGGCCGACGGACGGGCATGCGGGATGGTATATTTTCGCCGATATTTTTGGGCCTTTTGTCCCGAGTGAAAAACGCAACCTCTAGAGGAAAAGATCGATTTGCCGATCCTCGTCGGAGCGATCAATGCCATATATGTCAAAACCTTTGGGATCTCTCACACGCGGTGAGCTAGATGGCGTCGTCCCGGTCACCAACGACTCACGCAGAGGCCCATAGAGTCCACATTGACGTCAAAATAGAATGTATCAAGTTTGTTTTTGTTCATGCCCATCGCTAAATAGAGAGAGCATTTGACGAGCACGATCACCGAGGAAAGAGAGAGAGAGAGAAGGCGATGACATTGGGTCACACGCAGGCGCTGCACAGATGGTTACGTCGCAGAACCATTGACGGGGTGACGATGGCTTGGGGTAGGCCTTCAGCCAGCAGTGGATTGATCCTGGCTGATTACGGTGGTGATGATGATGTGTGAACGTATTCATCTTCCGGTGGCACAAGAGGCGCGCTTTGCGCGAACGGCCATGAATATTCAAATCACCGATTGAGTAAATATTGCTTGTTATTTATTTATGTGTGTGTTTTACGTAAAGTGCTATTCCGACTGCCTCTTGTATTCGTGGATATTTAATCACTGCATTATATATATAAACAAATGTTTTTAACAGATCTTGTAAACTTTCCATCGCCAATGTGACCCATGTCATACAACGCACTCAATGACTCAACGAATGGAATGGAACGTTCTGTTACGACAATTGTGTTTGTGTGCGCGTGTCTTGCTTGCGTATGTGGTTCGAGACGTGGCAAACACGCGAGCACCTGCGCTAATCGTGCAATTTTGTTTTTTAAAATGTTCTTGAGGCGGGCCGAGTGGCTCAGAGGTCAGAGGCGATGAGTCATCATTGCAGAGGTCCCAAGTTCCGACGACGCAGGATTCAGCCACCACTTGGGATTGAAACCGGGCTCTCGTGTGGATGGGAGAGGGGGGGTAGTGATCTGATGGTTTTGGCACGGTCACCACTGACTCACTCACACCGAGACCCATACGAGAGTCGCATAGAGACTCATAGATTCACATGGGGACCCACGGGGACTAGATTGCGATTAAAACCGGCTTCTCAAGTAGTAGTTGGTTGATGGTTTCAGACCAGTCACGAATGACTCCACATAAATACCGTCACGTTAAATATGGTCCTGCCCCGCACTTTATTGTAGTTACAATTTCAGGTTTGAGAATCATATCGGTTTTACTGTCATGCAGCGAACATTACTCTCATGTGGTAGAGTGGGTGGGCAAGTGCTACCCTCTACTACTGTGTGGACCAGAGGTCACGTGAAGGGACCTCAGGGGTAGCTCTGTGATATCCGCTTCCACGGATCGCGGCTGCTCTGCGAGATTTACGAATTGATTATTCACCAATTTGCACAATAGGGATAAAAATTGAGTGGGGAAATTTACAAAGAAGTTTGTAAAATATGTGCACCACTCTGCGGAAATAATTCATGAAGTCATTCGCAAACTCAACGCATTCGTCAATAACATTGTGGCCTTGAAAGATATAAAGAAAAACATATAGTAACAGGTGACGTTTCGGGAAAAGGGCCTTCATAGCACATGAAAGATGTGTAAACAAATTATACCATTTATGCACTGTGAAGATGTGTACACAAATACCAACAATGCACTAAGAATACCAACAATACGAAACGTCGCCTGTTATACACCTTTTCTTGCAAGGCCACAGTATTATTGTCTCGCGTGTTGAATTGTTAACTGTGTTTTTCACCACTGCCAATGCAGCAGTCTCAGCAGGGGCATCCGGCAAAGAGACAGCAAGATGCTGTTTTGTTTTCGCCAAGTCACCCGTTTGTTGCTGGTCGGTCTGCAGGACTAAACGTGTTGATGGCTCTCACCATTGGCGATGGGGCAAATCGAGCATAATTCTATAAATACTTTTGCCATGTCGCCCATCCTCCAGCGATTGATTTCTCCCGGAGCTGCGTGGCCGGTTTGACCCTGACGCGCACACAATCACATTAGCAGCGAGTGTGCCCCCCCCCACCCCCCTAACACACAGACGACAAAAATCCCCCGTATAGCCTTCGCACACTGTTAGGGCAAGTGCCGTCAAAGTGATATTTCTGCTCAAGTGATCATTCGGCCATCGGTGCTCATTTTGTTTACAGTCCTGAAGCAGTGGTGGAGAAATTCCACGTTGCTATGGCGGGGGCGTGTCTATGCATAGGACAACCACTCTTGACTTAACCACAAATTGTTATCTATTGTATCGACATTCGAGTGATGATGGGCTGAGTCAACCGCCAAATCAGGAGGTGAACTCGCAACCTTCCGATTGCGAGTTGCTCGCTCTACAGCTGAATATTGTTAGCGAGTGTCTATGAATGCCGGCATGGCACACAAGGGGCTGTGAGGCCAGCACCACGTCCGGCCGCCTTTGTCTGCTGAGTGGCAATGTTTGCACACCACATCAGGCTGAGTCGACCTAGGGGAGGCCCAGAATTGGTTCAAATAATCGTCACTGGTGTTGGCCGTGAGTAGGAATCGAGTTTGGGTCGCTGGGTCTGTGTTACAGGACGATAACCGCTACCCCACCGCTCCCCACATGGCATACGTAAATACACCCACATTGCACTTGCAACTGATGTTAGCCGTCACAGGAATTAAAATTTAAATCACTGGGGATTGGGACCCCGTAGGGGGGTGAAGGGTGGGGGGTTACCTCCAACAATATCAACCTTTGCTCTCTGTTTAACACGAGGGCTTTCGTGACCAATATTATCTGTAATAAAGGTTTTTTTTTGGGTTAGATCGCATAAATATAAATGTGTCGTTAAACCCGCCACCACCCGACACGGCCAATCAGTAATGTTTGTCAAGTAAAAGAAAGTGCCTATTAGTTACTACTGCAGCATACCGGTGTGTTGGAGAATAAACCCACAACATTTACAATTTGAGTACGACGTTTCGCTGGTGATTACAACAACCAGCTTAATCAGGCGATTAACCAGATAAAAACTTAGGGTCTGTTTTTTGATCGCGGGTTCGCTCATCATAATTGCGGCGGTTCATTTTCAAATATTCTGCGCCGTGAGATATCCCGATTGTGATGCCCCATTTGTCTCTTAACCAGGGGCTCAGCTACCACTGTGGGTGTCGTGGCTATCTGGACACTCCCAAAATGTTCTAGGTATGGCTCAGAGACACCCACAGAAAGTGCGACGACAAACAAAACAAAAATCTTATATTTTTGTGCTCACGACTCCGCATTCGACAATCCGAGTGAACGTGGAACGTTGGGCCAACGTTGCGCGAACGTTGGTCCAACCGCATGCCAATGGCCCGACGTTGGCGTGTTTCCCGGGAAGGTGACATAAATGCTGATTGTGCCGCTGATGGAATATTTAACACCGTGCAACAGTGGCGCATGAGCAGCAGCAGCAGGCTCAGTACTGAAGACAGCATCCAGTAGGAGTTGTGTAGATGTAATACAATCACAGTGCAGTAGAACTCTTAACCGTGATGAAGGGGTGGAGGGAGGGAGGGAGGGGGGGTGAAAGTAGCAAGGGCCTATCTGTAATCTACCCAGAAACCTCCTGGAACCGTTTCGTTAGTAGCGATACCCCCCAAACTCCCACAGTCTGGCTGAAACCCCATGCGCTTTACTGCAATGCTTCGCTGCGATGGAGATGTGCTCCTGATTGCTCGTCAGAAAAATACTGAAAATCTGGCCTGGATACGAAATTTCGGACGATCCGGAACCCCCCCGCCCCCCCCCACAGAGCAACTTCAATTTAGTATTAAAAAAAGGGAAGAAGCGTCACAAACACCGCTTCACTGCTGCTTTCCCGCCAAAAACAGGCGGCACGTGGCGTCCAGTGACGTCACAGTCGTGGGCATATAACTCGGTGCAGCTGATCTGAAATTTTGAAAAAAAAAAGTTACCCTAAATCTTCTTTAAAAAAAAAACATTATTCTACTTTTTTTTTTTACTGAAAATAGTCAATGGCAAATATTTACGGTCGAGGGCGCGTGGGGGCGCGGGGGTTGGTGAAAAGTCCCGAGTCAGAATCAGACTACGTTGTCATTATTTATACTGGAAGAATCTGACAAGCGATACATCTCTTTTCCACAGATGTCCAGTAGGGGCGGGTAAGAACGTTTACAACAAACAATACAATAACACGATAGGAGTGCAAAGTATAGGAAAGGTAAACAAAACACTTCAACAAATATACAAATAAAACTAAACTATTCGATCTTACCCTGCAAAGTCCACTGAGTTATCTCGCTTCTTTTTTTAGAAGTGACCTGGCCACAAATGGTAGCTCAACGAAGTGGCTTATCTAAATAACACGGTGCAGCTGATCCGAAATTCCGAAAAAAAAGGTACCCTAAAATTTCCTTAAAAATCCAAAACCATCCCCATTATTCGTTTTTTTTGTTACTACCTGAAAATAATCACTGCCAAATATTTAAAGCCGAGGGCGTGGGAGGGGGGGTAAAGAGTTCATTATTTTAGTCCAGGGGGTCGGCAATCAAAATAACAAGAAGTGGCATTTTGTTTCGAATTCGGTACACACAACCCCCCCCCCCCCCCCCGTCAATATGTGACGAGGTGCAGTGCACCGCGTGGTGAATACGAGACGGCGATCCTTAAAGAGCCGCATAAGGTTCTGGAGCTGCAAGTTTGCCGACCCCTGTTTTAGTCAGCCTCGCCATCCTCATCATCATCATCTCTCTCTCTTTCTCGTCTGCCCCCTGCCCCCGCAAACCACCCTGCCCCCCAAACTACCCTCGCCCCCCCTCAAAACCGCCCTCGCCCCCCCAAACCACCCTGCCCCCCCAAAACACCCTCGCCCCCCCAAACCACCCTGCCTCCCAAACTACCCTCGCCCCCCCAAACCACCCTGCCCCCCAAACCACCCTCGCCCTCCCAAACCACTCTCGCCCCCAAAACTACCCTCGCCCCCCCAAACCACCCTGCCCCCCAAACCACTCTCGCCCCCCAAAACCACCCTCGCCCCCCAAAACCACCTTTACCCCCCCTCCCAAAACCACCCTCGCCCCCCAAAACCACCTTCACCCCCCCTCCCAAAACCCCCCTCGCCCCCCCAACCCCCCCCCCCCACCCTGCCCCCCCCCCACGTGGCTCAGGCCTGGAGCACATGGGCAGCGCGCTCCCCTTCATGATGATGTCGCACCCGCTCCTCCCCGTCTCGCTGCCGCACGCCGCCTCCGTCACCATGGCGATGGGTCACATGACCCACCTCGGTGGCGGTGGCAACGCCAGCAACATGGCCGCCGGGGCCGGCGAGGCTCAGCCCGGACACCCGCTCAGGCTCGACGCGGGCCTCAAGGTAACGGCGGCGGGGGAGGGGAGACGACGCGACGGACATCGTCGTCGTCATCATCATCACCCTCCACACCGACACAACCCCCCACCCCCCCCCTTCGTCCCCACGCCAGCCCAGACCCCCCCCCATCCCCCTCCCCAAATAAAATCCCAGCCTCGTCGCCCACCACCCCGCCCCTCGTGTTTGCCCCCCGCTCTGCAGTTGCATGATGCACGGTTGAAGAGCAGACTGTATGGAGCATTCATGCTCCTGCTGATGATGTTGTTGCTGCTCCTCCTGCTGCTGCTGATGATGATAATGCTGCTGCTGCTCTTGCAGGAGGATGATGCTGCTGCTTGTTGTGTGCTGATGATGATGATAATGCTGCTGCTGCTGCTTGTTGTATGCTGCTGATGATGCTGCTGCTGCTCCTGCTGATGATAATGCTGCTTGCTGCTGCTCTTGCAGGAGGATGATGCTTGTTGTATGATGCTGCTGCTGCTTGCAAACGCGCGAGGAGCAGAGCTGGCATGCAAGGGCAGGCGAGCAAGCAGGGCAAGCTGCCCTTGCTCCTCTCCCCCTGCTCGCTCGCTCTCTCTTTCCTCTCTCTCTTTCCTCTCTCTCTTGCCTCTCTCTCTCTCTTGCCTCTCTCCGTCCTCCCTTTATCTCGCAGAGATCGCGAAGGAAAGACGCGGACAGCAAGAGCCACGGCAGCTGCTTACAATGCCGGCTGAAGGAATTGCCATATATTTGTTTATTATTTTGGCAGATTGTGTCGTGCGATCCCCTCAGCTCCCTCCTCACCATCATCTGACACGGGGGGGTTATTGATAAAATACACGAGGATGGGTTAAATGAAAACTACGCGCTAATGGATTGTAATTGAAATGCATTGTATTCGTATCGCCGTGTATATCCAAATAAAATATTCAAAACATTGCTCAATAACATTGCCCTAAAGAGGACAAGTGCGTAATTGGTGACGTTTCGGGCAATCGTCCTTCAAAGCAGAGACACAGAGAGGTGACCACACGGGCTTGAGTGAATAATAGTTGGGAGACTGCATTCATATCCACCATGGGGCCCTGGTAGACATTTTCTTTTCAAGGCCATTTATTTTTTTATTGTAAAATAAATTTATGATAGAGATAACCTCTCTGTCTCCTATGAAGAAGAAGAGGCTAATGCCCGAGATGTCATGTAGTGTATATATTTTTTTCCCTCTTGAGAGCAGTGTTATTGACGAATGTCTAATATGAGCCACCTTCTGATATACCTATGACAATAAACTCAACACTTCCGTCAATAACAGGAGGCTTTAAAAGGAAAATTATGAAAAGCAGGCGACGTTTTCGGGCAATGGCCCTAATCTTCACAACACGTAGAGAGGCCAGAGAGAGAGAGAGTTTTGTTTTTATTGTTGGTTGTGCTTGTGCCAACGCAGCAGCAGCACCACCAAATACATTGTTCAAATTAAGTAATGCCATATTACGTGTACATCCAAATTGGCATAATAATCAATCAGCTGCGCTCAGTCCACTTCTGGATGAAGGCCTCCCCGTGCCTACGAGGTCAGAATCAGCATCTTTATTCAAATTGGAGGAATCCGATGAGCTATGAAGCGCTTTTGTTTTCTACAGATGCCCTGTAGGGATGCGTGAGAAAGTTACAACAATACAAAATATAAGAATGTTTTTACCCTTTCTGGCAATAAAACAGTTGTGTTAAGATGTTAAAACACCAAACTGAAACCTTTAGCAAGGAATCATGTCTGCATTAACCACATATACTATCAGAGCATGTGTTTTTTTGTTTGCATGTTCACCACAAGTATATGTGGTTAATGTAGACATGATTCCTTGCGGAAGGTTTCAGTTTGGTGTTTTAACATCTTAACACAACTGTTTTATTGCCAGAAAGGGTAAAACCTATTCTGTTTTTTTTTTTATACTGGCAAGGAAGATCCCATGATGTAACAATACAAAACCGATAGGAGTGCAAAAATACCATAATAGAACCCGCATATCAATCGATTCCATTGCTCCATCTCTTCACGAGACGTACTGTCTTGATGCATTGCTTCCATTCAGTCACAATAATTAAGATGAAAATGAAATAATAATCTTACTCTATTAGAAAACAGTTTTGCTGGCAGGCAGGAGGGAGGGATGGACAGTCACGTCCACAGGATGTGTGGGCTGCCAGTTGTTTTAAAGATTATAACACGGCAATCCATTTATAGGCAACCTCACTAAAATAATAGTGATAAATTAGAGAAATATATATTTGATTTCAAAGCCTCTACTCGTCTCCCACCAGTGCACGTGTATTCATTCTTTTAACTCTCTCCCCCATCGCTTTGACGATGTTGAGAAAGCCATCACTTTCAAAACATTCAATCAGCAGTAGGGTACCTATAAATGGATCACCATGTGTATCATCATCAGCTGTGATCAATCCCCTGCTGGACGAAGGCCTTCCCAAGTTGTCGCGTCCCCTCTTAGTTCTGCGATTCAGTAGTCGGCCCTGCACTTGTACATGAGCCAGTCCCATCGAATCCCATCTCCCCGGTGGCTGTCTTCTTTGGCCGCAAACCCTCCTTTGGCCGCCACTCAGTAGTTATTCTCGCCCACCAACCGCCCTCTCGCCTAGCCGACGTGTCCTGCCCATGCCCACTTTTCTTAACGGTCAAGAATTACATCTTTAACTACGTATGAATAATATATCCATGCGATAATATTTTGTGAGCCATGTTATGATGGGTTCGTGTGCTGGATTGTTGCATCGCAGGACTGTGAGAGATGGCGACGGCTTGGGGGTGAGGTGGGGGTCGTCATCCAGCAGCGGATTGATCACAGCTGCTACTGCAGTGCCTGATGATTGTTTATCGTATTGTATCTCAGCTGTAAATATTGCAGGCCGCTGCGTGATCATCTGGTTTTGTTGTTGTCGGTGTGTGCGTGTGGCTCCTTGTTTCACAATGTATGTCACCCAGCCACATCAGTAAATTATTGACAGCTGCAGCACACAACAACAACAACTGCCACAACAACTAAACGGCAAACAAACAGGAAAAAACTTTAGGGTGGTGAGTGTGTGGGGAGCGGTGGGGTGGAGTTCAGTGGGGGTGTGGGGGGTGGTTAGGCGTATGGTGGATAGAAAGAAAATCAAATCAATGCGCGCCTAACGCCAATGATTTAATAAAAAAACAAACGGAACTGGACAAAGATGCGGCGTTTTCTTTCCCGCGGATGACATCAAAGGAGCGCGGGTGATCTATAATTGGTATGCCGCGTGGCACAGCCATCCTTGATGGAGCGGGCACATCAGCAGTATCTGTGGCCTGAGTCAGCCAAAAAAATGTTGCTATTGACAGCCTTGTCTGCGGCAAATATTGGCACGGGTGACAAATGGCTCGTCTTTGCTCATATTTAATTCCGTTCTTGTTTACCCGTTAAGAGCTATCACTTTGCGTTTCTCGTTTTTTTTCCAGGCTTCCTTCCATGGGGGAGGCTGGGCGTGTGATGATTAGACTATTATAAGCTGGGTTACGGTTGTGGGGTGGGGGGGGGTAGCGGTTGACGGTGGTGGTGGGTGGATGGAATGTATTTATCTTTTTTTGCTTAGTTTTTTTCAGTAAACAAGATTAAATCGGCTGCGGTGTATCGCGAGGAGCCAAGCGTAGATCACGGACGGCCTCGGCCGTAATCCGTTTAGGCTCGGCGGCGTGCATTTGTCACATCTCTCAAGTGAAGGGGGCCATTACTGCACGATGGCGGGTATTATAACGCGTCCGATCCTGGCGGCACGTGAGCGGGCGACGAGCTCATTGGAAGCGACACGTTCTCACGGCGTGCCGAGCCGATCCCGAAACACTTAGGCGAACAACGCGTGTACGTAGACGAATGGACGAGTGAGCGAGCGAACAAATTGACGGACGGACGAACGAACGGACGGATGGCAAATATGGTGCCAGATGGATCTGTGCAGGGCCCTCCCCTTGCCTCCCCTCCACGTAGCGAACCTGTGATTAATTAGAGGCTGCGAATTAAAACATCACAGTGCTCACGGCGCGAGCAGAACGCCTGTCTGCCTGTCCAAGTGTCGGCCCAAGTGTCATCTGGCTGTCTAGCTGAATGTCTGTCTGACCAGCTGGCTGTCTTGTCTGTCTATAGGACTGTTCGCCTGTCTCTTCATGTGTTTGGCTTTGTATCTATGTATCTATATCTGCCAACCTGTATGGTTACCTGTCTGCCTGCTTGTTTGTCTATGTATCTGCCTTTCTACTTGCCTTGTCCATCTTTCAGTCTATGCACATATCTGTCTTAATATATATCTCTCTCTGCACGTAAACTTGTCAATTTATCTTGTGGTTTGCCTCTCTGTGTACCTGTCAGCCTACTGGTCTGTCTACTTACTAATATGTCTGTCTCACTTTCTAATTGTCTACCATCCAACCTGCCTCTCTGTCTCTGTCATTAAATTTCTACACTTGTTAGCCTGCATGTCTTTCTGTCTGCCTTCCTGTTGCCCACCTGTCTGCTAACCGGTCTGCCTCTCCATCTGCCCGTGCCACCTCTGATGCCTCTACTCGCAAGCACAAACCTCAATTCAAGTCGCTGGCATTGGCTGCAGAGGGAGGGGTCTGGCTTTCACTCTCGTTCATCTTTCCGTTTTGTGTCTCTGCCCATCTGACCCATTATTCCAGCCACCTGTCTGTCCCTCCATGTGTCTGTCTGTCTGTCAGTTCCACCACCCCCCCGCACCCGATGCCTCTTCTCGCTCGCGCACGCCTCTGCAGCGCTGGTTGTGACTGCAGCACGATGCTCGGGCGTTCACACTCAGATAAATCACGGGGGCGGCCGCCACGCACGCACGCCATGCGGCCCATAAATCAGCCTCCTCTGCATTTGGTCGGACGTCTTTATTTAATTACACGGCGGCATGCATCCGCATACCCCACGGGCGAGTGTTTCTCCGTGATTATGAAAGGGATTTCATTTTCGGAACGTGCGTGTTTGTGCTTGTTTGTCTCTTTGCACCTTCCCCTCTCCACCACCTCTTTGCGTTTGACCTCTGACCCTTACAATCATAACACCTCACTTATTTCCCTCCCTCCCTCTCTGGATCCCTCCCTGTTGACCTGGACACCGTGACCCCCGCTAGGAGAGGAGTGAGGAGAGGGACAGCTCCCCCGAGCCGTCCCCCATGCGGAGGCAGCGATCCGAGGAGCCCCCGTCCCCACGCCACTGCTCCCCGCCAGCGCTCGCACACGGATCCATCGAGCGACTCGGTGGGTCATTTGGGCACACACGGGCCCCTCTACCGGGTAACCTGGGTGCTAGTGGGCATATCCTACGGGTCACGTGGGTCCTAGCAGGCATATCCACAGGGTCACCTGGGTGCTAGCAGAATAACCGCTTGCGGGTGCCTCAACCAGGTAACGGGTGCTCACGGGCATATCCACCCGGTCACACGTGCTCTAGCAGACACCGCTACTGGGCCACGCGGGTGTTAGTGGACATATCTACTGGGTCACGCGGTGTGCTAGCGGCCACCTCTACTGGGTCACCTGGGTGCTAACGGACATTAATTCTGGGTCACCCTGACATCTAACCTGGGTCATAAACTTCTCTCATGCGTCACAGGGATCCTCAGGAACAAATGTGTTTGAGAACAACCCTTCTGGGTCAAGCGGACGTCATCTCACCTGGGTCACGCACATTCATACTGGTGGACATCTCACCCCGGTCATAAAGGCGCTGGTCCCCGCATCTCATGACGAACGTCCGTAGTGAGGGCGGTCACGTGGTCGCTCGCTGCAGTTGCACCCTTCGTGCGAGTGTATTTTTTCCCGGAGAGACGGGGCTAGCGTGCGGATGTTTTGTCCCTACCCACGGGGTTGCGCTCTTACGCAGGCGTGCCCCTACACAGGTGTGCCCTTGCACGGGTGTGCGTTGGTGCGTGCGTGCGTGGCAGGAGGCGTGCACCAGAATGGACTGTGCGTGGGGCCTGTGCCACTCCCCGCCATGGCCCCACGGCCCAGCGGCCATGCCCGTGACGACGCCAAACACGACGGCAACGACAGGGGCCTCGCCGAGCAGAGTGAGTCACCGCTCCTCGTCGCCGCTCGTTGCCACTCGTTGTCACCGCGCGCGTGTGCCGTTTCTGTCCCGTTTGTGGGGGGGGGGGGGGGGTGGGGGGGGGGGGGGGGGGGTGTGGGGGGTGACCCCCGTGTCTTCGCCAAACCGCGATAAAGGCACAAAAACCACAGCGCGGACACCCTCAGCAAAGCGTGTGTCCCCTGCAACCCTCCCCCCCCCCCCCCGTAAACGTAATTTGGCCCTGCTCACACACGCTTCACCGACGCACTATACATCGCGGCAGCCGTGTAGCCTGAGCTTGTTTAAAGAGGGGGGATAGCCATACAAACACTCAAGGGGGGAGGCCGGGCATGATACTGCAATGGCTTCGATGCCCATTGCTTAATTATACTTATCATGTTACTTGATTAATAGAGTTTAGAATAGGAGGCTGAACCTTCAGTGGGGTGGTGGGGGGGGGGTTCAACTTCGTCTGGCCACCCCCCCTGCTCTCACCCCCCCCCCACTCGATGCCACGGGGCTGCCTCAAGGACTTTTGTACACGTGACGGTGGACGAGTGGTGGAGGCGCGACGGTATGGGAGGTGTTTCTGGTGGCAGCGCATCCCACCACGGGAAGGAGGGATGACATCGGCTCACGTGCTGGAGCTAGTGGGATTGTTACATCGCAAGTACCGTAAGAGATGCCGATGGCTTGCGGGAGGAGGTCTTCATCCAGCAGTGGAGTGAACATCGCCGATGAGGATGACTACGATGACAGTAATCTGTGATTGATGACGATGGAAGCCGATGTAGTCCCCAGGTCTCGGCAGTGCCCGTTATGAAGTTACGCACGGACGGTTCGCGTGATTCTGTGGTCGTGACAGAATGGTTAGTTTGTAATTCATTGTGAAGTTGTGTTTAATTCACGACAGCGGCAAGCGCAAGGACTCGTGACAGCAGTCAGCATTCATTTGGGCACGGACGCGGCCCAGCGGCAGCCGTTCGCCTCTTGCCGCAGAGGTTCAAGGTTTGAATCCAGCAGCGGCCCCAGTTAATACCGCGGCGTGGTATTAAACGTAGTAATAATACCACGTGCCGTCTGCTTCACTCGCAGCGGACGTTAGAGAGAGCCCCCTGATGTCATTCGCAAAAGTAGGTCGTCGTGTGCCCCCGTTATGGTCCACAATTGAACAGATTCGTGAATTACACTGCAAATTATTTGCTTTGGTAAAACCAAATAGCAATCCTGCTCTCTACTGGTACTCTGTATCCATCTGTGAAACATAGTGGCTGTGATAGCCTTGTGCTGTAACAATGGGGCAAATAACAATTTATACTAAATCATTATTATGAATAAATCATTATTATCATCATCATCCTCACCTTGTGGGAAAGTCAACGGTAGTTGTCCGATGAATAGACTCATCCCTGCCTTTGGAATGTGGGATTTCCAGCACAGGCTATGCAGGGGTGGTAAATGGGATATGAGCACCAATGCCTTCAACTGCTCATTTGCACAGGAAACCACTTTTGACTTTGACTCCTCACTGGGGCAGGGAATGGGTGAGTGAGTGGGGGGGTCGTTGGGTGTCGGTGAAAACCAAGTATAAACGGTCTCATCAAATGCCTCTGTCTGACATTTGACATTTATATTTCCCCAACAAAATGGCAAGAGCCCAAGGAGCAAACAAAGGTGAACTAACGATAATTACGGCGATCATTCCGTAATTATCAAGGCCAAGGTCCAAGAGGTCGTCACGGTCCTTTGCCGTTGGGGCCGCCACACCCAGCCATCGCTTCTCTCCTGCTGCTAGATCCCTTTAGCCACGCGGTGGCGGCGGCGGCGGCTTATGATGCACGTGGCTGCTTGTAATTCAGCACTGTGGAGGCAGCGAGGATTGGCGGATCACGCACACAGATGTCGCGAAACTCCTTTACCGTGGGTGAACGTCGAGGTGCCCCATATCCTGGCTTGCCAGGAGAAGGCTAGACAGCAAAGTGTGGTGCCAATGAGGGCCACAGAGCTTGGGTAATTGTTGGCGACAGTTATGGCTGCCTTCCTGCTTTGCCTATGGTGTTCCCATGTCTCTGGATCTACACATTTGTAACTTTAACTTTGAACTTCAGACCCCCTCAGATGGGATACAATCTACATCTGACCTCCAAGGACCACTCTGACAGTCTCATTACTTCCGTCGCCATCTGGCAACTGCCTTGTCAGGAGGTGGGAGTGCCTCCACTTTACCCCACCACACACGGCTGATTAACTCTGGTGTACTGTATTCAATTATACTGCCGGGTGGATGGAGTCGGTGGAGAGGGGTGAAGAATTTCAGAAACTTGCACCGTAATTTCAGTTGCCATGCCGGGAGATCGAATCTGACCGGCGACCTCTGCATTGCACCACAAATTAGGGGTTGCTTTTTTTCCTTTATGGGTGAGACGGTGTGTGCTTGTGCCCGTGCACGCATGTGTGTGTGTGTGTGTGCGTGCGCGATCGAGTGAGCAAGCGGGCGAGCGGATGAGCGAGCGAGTGGGAAAGTGGGCGGGTGAGCATGGGGGCGAGCGGGCTAGAGTGGAGCCGCCCGGGCGAGCAGATGTTACGAGCCGCGGGGTGGCACCGATGGGGGCAGGGGTGGGTGTGTGGCGGGAGGGTGGAGGCAGGAGGGGGGCACAGGCTGGCAGAGTGCAGGGGGTTTGGCAGAGGGGGTTGGGGTGGGTACAGACCAGGGCCACGCGAGAGTGGATGGAGCTGGGCGGGGGCGGGGATGAGAGGGATGGGGTTGGGCAGTCGTCCGCCCTTCTCCTCTGGTCCCTTGCTTCATTTGAAATGGAAAAACCTCCTTAGATCGGCCACCGGAACAGATGACTTACGGCCGCAGAGACACTGAAATCCAAGCCAGACCAAATGTTGCGTGGTTATAAATATTTTGTCCTGGGCACCGTGGGACCCGGGATGAGTGATTAGTGGCGATACAGCTTCGTCTGTGCTGCTACATCAGAGCGGAGATTTTTCATATTAACTTTTCTTCCTGCTTTTTTTTTGTCGACCCCCCCTCACCCGCCCCACACCCCCTCCGCCCCTCCCCTCCGTTCTTCATTACGTATATTTTTTTCCACCTTGGCACAGGACCCGGTCCTTATGCCTCAAATTGGCTGTAATAAACCCCTCCACTCATATCCACGCAACTTCATCCGAAAATTAAATTACATTTTAAATCATCGCATTAATGAACAGTTTGGGAAGAATATGAAATTTTGCGAGACACGTTCTCGGGTTTCAGATATCGCACACACAAGCGCGCACGCACACCACGCGCACACGCATGCACGCGCATGCACGCGCATGCACACGCACGTGCACCGAATACGCCGAGTTGACAAGACGTGGTGACGGTTCCGCGGCACGCGATCAGCATCGCGCGGCGGCGTGGGATAAATCGCTCGCCGATTAGCGGCTCCCAAACCCAGTGCCTGCAGTGCTGAGGCTATGGTGAGATAGACCCCCAAATAAGTTAACGTTGAAACTTAAACCAATTACTCGGTGATGCCGCTGCTCCATTGGTAGTGGGTGCACAAGCATAGTCAACAAAACGAAATCTCAACACGTTCGTCAAAAACAAGTGTCACCATGTGAGGAAAATATATAATAGATGATGTTTTGGGCAATTTTCCCTTCATGATAGCACATGTACTTCTCTTGTATGGCCGATGTAGATGCAGAGTAGCAACTACAATTTCACATTCAGGGGGTCAAGCCAGATAACTGCGCCAGGAGCAGCGGAGTGTAATTGTCGTGTTGTCTCCTTCGTATTTGTGGATTCGGGCATTGCGTAGTTATACGTTGTACAGTCTGTTCTGGATGACTCCAGTTGCATGCTGGAGATATTAACATTTTCCATTTGGACATCAGGTATCCGCATCTGCCATGGTTTGTGCGAAAGATCAAACCCCAGGGATCTTCTGAGTTGGGTCTTTCACATGAAGAAGAACCATTGGCACTGTGATATGAATAAGGGTCATTGCATGAAACGTTGCCTATTATATATTATGTTTCCTTTAACACCACAGCGTTATTGACGATTGTTGTCAAGATGTAAAGTGATTGTCTGCTCAACTGAGCGTCATCTCACATTTCAGTGCTGGATATTCTGCATTCCTATGGCGGGGGTGAGTCTTCCCCACAAAGTGGTACTACTCATTTTGTCGTCGTCTGCAGAGAGGCGACGGGGCTGATTCTCAACCCCTCCCAACTGGGATGTGAACTCGCAACCTTCCGATTGCGAGCCGCTCGCTCTACCGCTGAGCTGCCGTGGCCCTTCGATGCGGACGAGCAAATCCGTGCGATGTCCCTTCTCAGTGAATTTTCCTTCCGAGACTCTTTTCTCTGTTTTGATTGGAATATTTGAATTGTAAAACAAAACAAAAAATTGTACGCATATTGCATATATATGCTGTATTTATATGTATGCCCGGATGATCATATCGCGTCCAACGAGGAAATTGAGTGATGAAAATCAGCAGGTGCTGGGCGCATTTTAACGTCGTGGGATCCCGAGTGATGGTGACAGTGTGGGGAAGCCTTCATCCAGCAGTGGATTGATCATGGTTGATCTGATGATAACGGTGGTAACGGTGATGTTGATATAATTTATACAAAGAGCCAGCACAGAGCCTCTTGGGTCTCTCACGCAGGGCTTGCTGCTGTCCCCGCCTGTTAACCCATTGCAAGCCCAATCCTCTTTACCCAACCCCTCTGTGTACTCTGTGATTATTGCTCTCACTTCTTCCATCCCTCCATACCACTGCAGTCACTCTAGTCACCGGCAGTCAGTCACCTCTTGGTCATTCTTCTATCGCTACTATTGTGGTTGCTGTTCCCATTACCATCACTTGTCGAATCCTCCACCCGTGTTGATTGAGGACTAGGTTGCACCAGACTTGAGTGTTTCGTCTTATCTCCACACTTTAAACCACCGCACCACAGGTCACACACAACAACACCCTCTCACGTGCCCAC